TGACCTTAAACTCTGATACAAGTCCACGCTTAGCAAGGCACTTGAAATGGCTTTCACCATATTTAAGCCCTGACGCATTATCGGCAAATCCTCAAATATGACAAGGCTTTGACGCAAAAACGCCACCTTTTTTGTGGCAACGAATTCAGTCTCAAATTAGTCTGGAGTCTCAAAATTAATTCATTTTTAAAGGTTGTATTCGCAGGTGGCATTTTCAATAGCCGAGAACATCGACCAGAACTCCATCCGGGAATGTTCTCGCAATAGCTATGTCAACCTTAGGTATGGTGCGGAACACTAATATTACTCGGAGCGCGCGGTTTCGCAGAGACCTCTTGATCCCTCTCCTGTACCCCTGGATTTTTGTGGCCTCACCCCATATGGGAGCGCCGTTCAAAATAGTGAAACTTAAGACTTCTTGTAGAAGCATCCAGCGGCTTTTTTAGGACCTCTCGTATTCAGCATGATCCTTAATTAGGACATACCGATATTTATTAGCTTTTGACGAAGTCTTTGACGAGGCACACCACTTCTATAGCAGACCCGACCCGCTTCCGACTGGAATTGACAACCGCCTTCGTTTTATTGTGGGAGACGTAAAAAAAGTTTTTATGTAAAAAAAGGCTCTTTTACTAATTGTTAAGGGTGTTCGAAATTTAATATTGTTTCCTTTAAAGCACCACTTTTGGCTTAAAACACGGATAAAACGTTCTAAACGTAAAAAAAATTTTTTTTTACTTGCATTACGATTTTTATTCTTCTCATAACCGGGCAAATAAAAAATCTCAATTATCAATAAACTTACAATAGGGCAATACATCTGCCCTTCCACGATGATTGCTTCATTATTTTTGTCGGGTCAGAAGGTACCTTCCTTTTAAATATTATTATTTCTTATATTGAGTACCTATCGCCTTAACCCTCTAAGACGTAAGGCTGCCTGAAGGCACGTATTACGTTTTTGCCCATAAAAAATAAACTAACAACTTTTCAATCGTTTAAGGGGACCCCCCCCTTTTCGGTTAAAAAAATCGATTTTTTTTTTATTTTGTTCGAACTATTAACTATTCAAGAATGTTCCCTGAAAATTTCAAGTGAAAATCTCAAAAACTCTTGAAGATATAGCCGATTTATGGTGGTAGCCTCAGGCGACGGCGAGAGCCGTCTCAAAACTTTAAACGCGCTTTTCTCGAAACAGTGTTTTTACGACTGGCGCATGAGGTTACTCAAAAACTATTAATCCAATCGGTTCCAAATTTTAACACGTTATTCTATACATAGCTCTGGTATGAACTAGGATAAATCAAATCGGTGAAGATCTTCTTTACTTCTCAGCTTGATATGTGGCTTAAATAATTAAAAAATAATTTTCAAAGGTCCGCCATTTTGTTAATTTTTGAGCAAAGTTAATAATCCTAGTTCATACCAGAGCCAAACATGTACTCTTTCCAATCCCGTTGGAATTTTTGGTTTCAGATGTTCCAGTGAGCGGAAATCACACGCGCCGCCAAAAAGAAGGGCTTTTCTTTGATTGCAAAAAACAACAAAATAAAAAAAAAAAATTTTGTAAAATGGTTTTCTTACTTTTTATGTGTTAATATATGTATGCACAGTTACAACCCTAAAAAATAATTCATGTTCATTTACCAGCCCATTGAAAATCGTCAAAATTTAAAATCGAGAATGGGGGGGGGGTCCCCTTAAATAATTTTTGGCGGTTGATAAAAAGTACACAAAATTATGATGTCTCTCTTAACGGGACTTATCTTTCGGAATACACAAGACATTTTTTTTTTTTTAGTAAATATACAAAACCTATCCAGCTCATAATTTTTTTCTTGAAAGGTAAGTTTATTTACTTTGAAAATTAAGTAAAATATTTGCAAATTTATAAAAAGCATGCGTTGTGACAGCTAAATAGCGATACGTGCCTTTAGGCATGTTCGGGGATCCAAAACAACTTTTGTTGCCAGCTGATAATTTCACAATTGATTTCTTTTTATGTGTCTGTTTCTGTTTATGGAGTGATTTTACTTAATAGAATAACAAATATTATAGAAAATGGCAAACCGGGTTGAACAGTTGCTCAAAATATTTTACTCAGTTCCATCGGATGAAAAAGTGTTAAGCTCACGTGACGACGAGGACGAAGACATTGCTATAAAGGATTCTCTTAATACTGCTTTAGAGGATGCTGAGACTATATAATTTATTGAGAGTAATGTTGAACATGTCCAAAAAAATGCACAGAAAGCTGAGATCTCCCAGAAAACTTGAAAAAGGCCGCGATCACCATTACCAAGCAGTAAAGATTTGGCGTGCGCATCTTCGCCAAATTCTGGTGAGTTCAATGGAGCTGGTAAGCCAAATTTAAATGCTGTGTTTTTTTTGTGACTAGATAGTTTTATTTACAAAGGTATTGAATCAAAAACAAAAGATTCAAGTAAGATTATGTGGCGAGAGAAATGTATGCAGGTGCATGTTAACAATGTAGCATTTCGAGGCGATTTTTCGCTGCCAGCAGAAATAAGGGCGCTCAAACTCCTCTACAGCTCTTTTGCTATTTTTTTTTCTGAGCTTTTTCTAAGACCGATAGGTCCTTATAACCTTGGCACGGTGCGAGGTATCCCAATAAATTCCGAGGGATTTTTCGGCTGAGTACGTTGGGTCCTCATATGGTGTCGACATAACCAATGTACTCTGAAAAGACAGCAAGCCTGTTCGCTTTTTGTCCACTTATGTGGGTGTAAAGCCATTCGAAAAGACAAACCCTGGTGAAGGAACTGCAAAGGCTTATCGCTTTGACAGAAAGGCTAAGCTACACATTTCTTTTGATTGCCCCAAATTGTGCATGAGTATAATGCACACATGGGCGGCGTAGATCTCATGGACGGCCTAATGGGACGCCATCATATCAGAGCAAAAACTCGGGATGCCGCAACTCGTATTTTTTATCACCTTATTGATATGGCAGCCACCAACGCCATTATTTTACACAGACGTATCCAAACAGAGAACGAAAGCAAAGAAAAATTACTTGCACTCCCAGACTTCCGTGAAACACTAGTCGTAGGGCTGGTGACATATATACACAAAAACTTACCGGGTCGCCCAATCATTACATCTTCACCGCGATGGGCAAGCCAGTCTCCATTCTCTCAGTCAGGACGAACAATAAAATCCCCTTTCTTGCAGAACAAACGGGCAAAATTGTCTCCACTCTCTCATCGACCTTTTTAGCATGAGCTCAAACATGATCAAAAGTCAAAACATCCAATATCAGACTTGCGGTTTGACCAGCTAAACCAATTCCCATATAGGTTGGATTGAAACATTGGAAAAAGAAGTTGCAAGCACTGTAAAACTTCACGAACGCAATGCATATGCACGAAATGCAATCTGCACTTACGCTGCACAGCCAATAAAAACTGTTTTTTAAAATACTATAGGAAAAAATAAAATAAATATTCATTACTTGAAAATGTTTTTTTTTTCCACTCAAAGCCCCAAGCGTGCCTTCAGGCTCGCTTACCTTTCTTCTCACCTCAACCGAAGATTCTACGATATTTTTAAGCAAATATTTGAGCTAAGAAGCATTAATTTACTTAAGGGGTTATATACCTTTTTTATTTTCAAAAAATCGAAAAATTTTCGAAATCGAAATTTTTTTTTGCTTTATCTTGAAGAACAACTCCTTGAGAACATTTTCCCAAATTTTCATAGAGATTGGAGCTGTAGAAAAAAAGTTAGAGCGCGCCTCGTCGCGGCCTTTTACTGAACTTGAAACTTTAAACGCGAATATCTCGAAATGGTGTTTCTTGAAAAATGACTTTGCGGTGACATGGATTGGCGGAAAACTACTGAACCGATTTACTTCAAATTTTTTTTAAAATGTTCGTAATGAAATTCTTCTGTGCTTGAACGATCAACTTTTCACGCACAAACTTTTTTTTTGCCGAAATGAATTTTGTAGTGAAATTTCTAGAGACCAAAAAGTTCATTTTTAGCATTAAACGTTCCCGTATGCATAAAAAAAAAAAATTTTGAAACCGATCGTTCAAGCACAAGGATTTACACTAAACTAATGAAATTTTTTTACTTTTATGGTTTCAGTTGAACTGTTCGACCTGGGGAACTGTCACCGCAAGGCTTTAGAAAAAAAAGGCTCTAAGGGAAACAGCCACCCTTTAAAAACTATTTAATATTTTTCCACCAAATTTTGGACAAACATTGTTAATAAAGCGTACTATCAAAAAATTAAAACATCCGTGTAATTAAATAATTGTTACATAACTAAAAAAAATCCGAAATTTCCTCTTTTTCTTCGACAAAGAAGGTACTCTTAGAGGGTTAAATGATCGCAAGCAGACTCTTGTCTTGGTTTTTAGATAATTAAGTCAAAATTTTGGCACTCCCACTCCCGCCCCAAAACAGAAATCTGGTCAAAGCGCCAGTACGTTAATGTTTTTGGAAAATATTTTGATGCCAAACTATTTTGATACACCTACAAATCAATAAGCAGCCAAATCGAATAATTTTCAGAGAAGTTATAGACTTTCTAGTCTGCTTCCCTACTGAATCTGTAGTATGGCCGTAGGCTTTTTGTTATTGTTTTGTCAAATCGCAAAGGTATGGAACAAAAATTTTTTGCTGAGTATCCATAAAGTTAAAAGTTAAGTTAGCGTAAACTTTAAAGGTTAGTTAAATTATGGGTGGAAGAGATGATTACTGGGTATTATACAGTCGGGAAACGCGACTTTACATACTCCTATATATAGTTACTATATATATACTGCTATATATATAATACATATATTGTTTTTTTTACTGTATGTACTGCTATATGACATTAAGTATTAAATTAAATATTCCATTTTGTTATGAAATGCCAAGTACCAAAGCGAAAAAAAATGTTTAGCATTTACTTGGGAGTGGGAAGTCAACCATGGCATCAAGAATGCTCCGCTTCCCCCTGAAAAACTTCAAAGATGTGATCTTACCTCCCGCTGTAGCTTACGACGTTCAATTTTAAGCTCTGCTTCAACTTTTTCGGCGGCTTCTGTTGTACTTTTGTATCGTATTACTTGCGATTCTGAGCGTGCTAAGCTCGATTGTAAATTTGCTACCTCTTGTTCAGCCTTATGCAGCTTGTATTTATAATCAGCTATGATTTTGTTAGACTCTCCTAAAAAAAATAAAACAATTTAAAATAAATGTTTTGGGATACACAATTTGGATACATTTTTTGGTCAGTTAATCCGACCTACAAAATTTCATAACGATCGGTCGACTATATCTTATAGCTGCAATATAACTGAACGATCGGAAATGGTATTTGGTAGAAATATCAACTTTGGTATAGAAGAAGATAGAAGCTTGGGACTTTTTTTAGATATTTTATTGTAATTAAAAATGAAAAATGAAAAAAGTCTGTTATAATAATGGTAGCATCAGATAACATCAGAAATTAGGAACGCGTTCGAATAACAAGAGTACTGTACTGCAATATTTTTAGATGTCTCTCAAGCATTTAATAGAGATTGGCTAGAAGATCTAATGTTCAAGATCAAGACAATGCTCCCCTACAACACCAACAAGCTTTTGAGTTTTACGACAGAACAAGCCTATACGACAGAAAATTTGCTGTGGATGCAGCAGCGTTGCTAATAATTTCACAATTGGAGTTGGAGTTCCTCAAGGTAGCGTGCTAGGGCCAACAGCATATATCCTCTACACAGCGGACATCCCGACAAGCACACGACTAACAACATCTACGTTTGCTGATGATAAAGCAAATTCTTAGCCGCTCAAAATACCCGATACAAGCAACTGCGCAGCTAGCTCTTCATCTGGTCGATGTTGAAAAATAAATCAGGTTTTCAAATTAAAGTGAAGGAACAAAATGCAAGCACGTAACGTTTACATTAAACATGCAAAACTTACGTTAAATAATACTCTACTCCCGCATGCACGTGAATTATCTAGGAGTACACCTCGACAAAGACTCACTTGGCACCGGCACATTGAAGCCAAAAGAACAAACCTAAATCTAAAAGCCAGCAGCATTAATAAGCCTCGAATAAAAAGTCAGGCTGTATAACTCGGTACTAAAACCTATATGTTCGGAATGTACGGCTTCCAGGTATTAGGGAACGCCAGCAATAGCAATATTGACATAGTCCAGCGGGCTCGACGAAGATCTTGAGAACAAACACAGGGGCACCATAGTATGTTCGCAACGAATTCATACATCGCGACTAAAACATTCTACTAGATCAAGAAATGATCGCAGAAGAGAAGGAAAAGTAATGTTCCAAGCTACTGTTGCACCCTAAACACCTTGCAAAAGGTCTAAGGTTAAGCAACCAATTACGCAATCAGAGCAACCAAAAAAAAACATCAAAGCCCAGTTTGGCCAGATAACATTTTCGTCCAAGAACATCAGCCTAGTACCATAACGAAAAAAATTTAAAAACTAGTGGGAGTGAAACTTTCACATATTAGAACCACTGACCCACCTTCAACCTTTCTTTGGCCACAAATTCTAAAAACTTATATCGTCACTATGACTAACCTATTACAATAATAAGGGGCTACGTAGCAAACTCCCAAAACTATATTATGATAGTTCTCTCTTTGCATCTCATATTATAGCTTTTACAGAAATTTGGTTAAGACCGGAGATTATTAGCTCCATGCACCATGACTTCACTGCGGGCATGTTTGACATGTCCCTAGGTCAAATTAACCATGTTTGAAATTCGTTTTGTCTGTTTAGACTTTTAGCTGGTTCTGATGGTACTACTTTTTCCAGAGCTTCGCCCCTTTCAAGCCTAAAGCATCTGCTTGGTCATTGAGGGTTTGCAATGCCAGTAAAAATAAAAGACGAATTTATATTTAATTGGAAACGTTACAAAAATGTTTATTTCTGAATGCAGATGAAGCAGATATGTAGATCCGCTAATGGTGCAGGCTGAGGCTCAAGAAGATGTACAGAGAGGGCGGCCTGACTGGTCACTGCGAAGCATAAGCTCTCGATAATGGAGGGGGCGGCCCGACCTAGACACTGCGAGCTAAAACTCTCTGAAGAAAGCCCGTTGAATCGAGCAACCGAGAGATGGTCTGTTTGCGATCAACTAAGCTTTTTGTACATACTTAAGCCTAATAAATAAACATTAAACTAAACATTTAATTAACATTAGCTAAACATAACATTAGACCGCTGTGTTGCTGCCTGACCCAACAGCATCCATATCACCCCACGCTTGGGGCTTCAATCAAAAACATTTCTGGTATCGATCAAAAGGTTCCAGAAGGTCGATTAGAAGGTGAGTGGCAAATTAAATTCGCTGTTTCCGCAAGGCTGATTTTCACAAACTTAATAGCATTATCGATACATTTGATTGTTTCGATATTCTGGCAGCACCGATGTACAAGTCACAAAAGAAAAACTTTACCATACTTTTAAAATACATTTTTGGACTCGTGTGTGCCATGGAAATAACCGTCCTCTTAAACAAATCCTCCTTGGCTTACAAGGTGCCTCACGAACTAAAACAATACTAAAAGCAGGCTACTTATATATAAAACAAGAAAGGAAAGCTAACTTCGGGCGGAACCGAAGTTGATATACCCTTGCAGTTAAAACCGGATATTTATCGCAAATATCGGAAACAGTTGTCCGATCCTTATGATAATAGTTGGATCAACTGACCAAAAATAGAATCTGTACTAAGTTTCAGCTTTCTATCTTCAAAAACACGAAAGTTGGGTCATATCCGATCGTTCAGTTATATGGCAGCTATAAGACATAGTCGGCCGATCCTTATCGTTAAGACAGACGGACATGCTCATATCAACTCAGGAGGTGATCCTGATCAAGAATATATATACTTTATAGGGTCGGAGATGTCTCCTTAACTGCGTTGCACACTTTTGGACAAAATTATAATACCCTATGCAAGGGTATAAAAATAGAAATTAGAGTTATATTAAAGATTTATTATTAAAGAAACAAGGGGGTGCCATCGAAAAATGTTTTTCTTGTCCATCAACGAGTAAATCTTCAAATACTTTCATTGTTGGGGACTCCCAAAAATCTCTTCAACATACCTCACTATCACAGGACACAAACAACAATTTATCTTCACAAAGGAGTTAGTTTTTCGTATTATCTATATTGTTGCCATTGACGACTTTCGCAACAATTTTTACCGTTAAATTTGGCCAAACAAAATATTACAGATGCTTGCAGAGATACATATGACGAAACGGATAAACGGAACGGAAGGAAACGGAGACCAATAAACGCATTTGATCGTAGCAAAGACTCATCGGGTGTTGATGGTAATTCTTATATTTTGGCCCGTAAAATTAATGGCCCGTTTACGCATTATTTATTATACCCTTGCAGAGGGTATTATAATTTTGGTCATTTATATATATTCTTGATCAGGATCACCTCCTGAGTTGATATGAGCATGTCCGTCTGTCCGTCTGTTTCTACGCAAACTAGTCTCTCAGTTTTAAAGCTATCGTCTTGAAACTTTGCCCATACCCTTCTTTCCTTTGCACGCAGTATATAAGTCGGAACGGCCAGGATCGGCCGACTATATCTCATAGCTGCCATATAACTGATTGATCGGAAATGGTATAACTTTGGTGTTTTTAAAGTAAGAGAGTTCAACATGAGAACATTTGACATGAGAGCTATTTTTGGCAAAATAATACGACATGTCAAATTTCATAGGGATCGGTCGACTATATCCTATAGCTGCCATATAACTGAACGATCGGAAATGACCCAACTTTCGTGTTTTTGAAGATAGAAAGCTGGAACTTAGTACTGATTATATATTTGGTCAGTTGATCCGACTTACCTAATTTCATTAGGATCGGCCGACTATATCCTATAGCTCCCATATAACTGAACGATCGGAAATGGTATTTGGTAGAAATATCAACTTTCGTATTTTTGAAGATAGAAGTTTGGGACTTTTTTTAGATTTTGTATTGTAATAAATTGGATTATATATTCCTATTCCAATAAGGATCGGCCAACTATATCCGATGTTTGCGATATATATCCGGTTTTAACTGCAATGGTATATAAACTTCGGCTCCGCCCGAAGTTAGCTTTCCTTTCTTGTTGTATTATTGTTTCTGTATTGTATTACTGTATTATTTCCATAAATTTGCGCATCTAAAATTGTGTTAAAAGTAAATTTATATTATTTATAAATATTGCAGATCCGCCAGCAAAAAAATATTCGTCAGATACTGGCATTGATCTTTCGATAAACATTAAAACAAATCTCAATAACCCTGGAGAATGATCTAAAAATTTGACAATTTCGCTAATTGACATTATTGTTGAGAAAGGTAATCAGAGTTAAAAATATCCAATATCCTCGAAACTTTGAGGATCGTTATTTTTCCTATTTTCACTTCTGTCGCGTTTTATGAAACGGAGAACGTGTGGATCGACGATAGCTAGTCTACTCCATAAAAAAAGATTTTTTATTCTGCTTTTGTTGTAAAATATTTCAAATCGGCGCAAAAACAAATTATCGATTCGCAGTTATTGGGTTTCAAGACTGGAAACATACAACTTCAGCAATAGAGTGCCACGTGTTATCACAAACTCACTTGCTAAACTTCCAAAGGTATTCTGACTATTTAAATTTTGAGGTCAAACTGATAAGTTATTCGCTTCAAACAATGGCAACTTTTTGGGGCTTGTCGAGATGATTGCACGTTTTGGCCCTGTTGTGGAAAAAAAACTTGGAAAAAATCTCATCCCAAGAAATACACGATCATTATCTCGGAAAGGACACGCAGAACGAATTTATATTTTTTTTGAGAACCACCGTTCGCGATAAAATCTGTTTGACGCTTTTTAGACTTCGTACCGGTTTGATCTTCCACGGGTGAAAATTGGACGAATGAGATTTGTACTGAGTTGGACAAATTGGGTCTTCCTATTGCAGATTGTCGGGGACACGGTTACGACAATGCACACTGGGGAATTTGCCGTGTTTTTGTGGCATAAATGTGTTTTTTAAAAGTTTTTAAATTTTTGATATTTTAGTGTTACCGTATTAAAAATAAATCAAAATTGTATGTTACATACCAAAAAAGGTATTTTTCCAGTCCAGTATTAAAATACCAGCGATTAAAATCAGC